TTCCAGAAAGTTTGTTCTCCAATACCTTTAGGTATGACTGCGTTGTATAGTTCTTACATGACAAGTTCTTCTAAAATAATTCTCACTCATTCTCATAGTGCCTATAATTAACAATTTAAATAGTTACAGGGACTAGCACTCTACTATTAAAATCAGTGTTTATGTAAATTTTTCATTGGACTCAGCCTTAAAACAAATCAACCGTGGAGCATCCAGATTTCAACAGTACTGGAATGCAAAGCCCTCAGCAGAGGTCTGGAGGAGTATATTCACATCAAAATGAAAAACTTCAGGAAAAACAAAAATAACCCCAAGAACAGTAGCTAATTCAATGAACAAAGAGAAAGAAAACACAAGTTTGAGGATAAAACAGAAAACCTGTGGAAGCATTCATATGTTTGGGGGTTGTCACTCTCTTGAGCCTGAGAGATTCTCATTAGCACACTTAAATGCAATACGGGAGCCTGTCGAAGGGTATTCTGTAGAAAGCAAAGTTTTTAAACTCCATTTTAAAAGGCTTACAATCACAACATCCATTTATTTAATCTGCCAGAGTTTTTGCAAGAAATACAATAAAGAGGGCTTTCAGAGTCTACCAGCCAATCTGGAATGTTACTAGGGAAATACGATAGCATTAAATACATTTGAGTTTCTATTGGCAAAAACACACTCGTTTGAATAATGCTACTGTGCAAACTCACAGTTGTTCATGATATTCCACCACTTACTTTCAGTCACAGCTGAGGACTGTGTGGCATAAAGCAAGTAATTGTCTAAGGCAGAAAAAGCACCTATGTCTTCACTACATACTTCCAGAATGACAGAGCCTTGAAATGCCTTACAGGCTGCTGTCATCTCTGAAGGGATAAGACAGATTTCTGGGAGAGCTGTACTCAGAAAAACCTGCACTGTGCCCCAGAAGCATCTTCACCTCTCAATCCACCTGACAGAAACACCAGATCTGACACTTATCCTCCTCTCAGCTTTGCTTCTGCTACATCAGTTTTACCTTCTAAGAAGCTTTGAGGTTACTCTAGATATATTCCTGGTTAACCCCTGGACATTAACTGCACAGTCAGTAGACACTAAACACATATATACTACTTGCAGTGCTTTATTCCTTGGTAACAAGTCAAGTGAAGCTGGCAGCCAGTTGTGTCAAAATTCTCTTTTATACTGCAAAAGATGATTGGCATTTCTTCCCCAAAAACTGCATTTCCTAAAAAAACAGGAGTAACACGGTTGAAGTGCAAGAGATTAAGAAAGTCAGTGTAAATATAAACATTTATAACATTGAGTTATATTCTAAAAGAGATTTATCTGGATGGCAAAATTTGTTGTCTCCATCTTTACCTCTAAGTATTTTCTACAGAAGATCCAAAGGCTTAGAAATAACTTCCTATTTATGACCAGTAACTTGGCATTATATACTGTAGTTTTAATCCTCTATCTCTTTCAATGAAGCCACACATTCTCAGAAATACCTAAAAATACCTATGTTAAGTGCTGCTACAAAGGCTTTTCAGCTATCAGATGGTTTTTGAAAGGTCATTTTACATTTCATGGAGTATACACAGTTTTATTCGTAGGTTAGCTTGGTATTTGGCTTGTTTTTTTGGTTTTTTTTTTTTTTTTTTTGTGCCTACACTTCACAATCTGCCCTGAAAGAGTCACTTTTTATCAGAAAAGGAAAACATTAAAGATGTAAGACTTTCTCCAGAAATTCAATAATAGATCTGTACCTCTACCAAAGTGAACACAGTCTTCATGAAAAATAAATTCCCCTCCAGCCTATGCAAATACATCTAGCTCATTCTCTACTCCACTAGGGTTTATCAACTTCATTGCTAAATGGGCTGGGCTTTAAGTCATTTGCCTGCCCAGTAGCATTAGGCAGAGAAATCACACTGAAATCTATCTGGGTGGCCGACTTCTATCTTGATTTATGAGCCAAGCATAGCTCAGAGTTTCACTAACTTGCCAGGGTAAAGTAGTAAGTACTTCATTTGTTTCCTCTCACTTTTGTTATAAGCAAGCATATAAAGCATTCATTCAACCATTCCATAGCCACAGGCACTAAGTGCACCTTACTAGCAATCATCAGCAAGTTTTTAAAAAATATTTGCCACAAAACAAACAACCAGTGCATGCAGCAGCAAAGTTAAACACTGTTTGCAGATTCTTTATCCAGCATCAAGCAAACCACAGATCTTACTACGACTTTTACTATTGCATTTTTTTTCCACAAAGTACAGTGGTTTTCTCAATACTAAGCACTTAACAGTGTGAAGCCTAATAATCTTGCTCTGTGCAACATTTTCTCTTCAATATTTACGTATTTATATTTTGGTAAGGATCCAATCAGTGGTATTTTAGTTGACTACAACCCAGTATCATGAAAGCAATAACATATTTGGAGAAAGACTAGAAACGACACTGAAGCATTTCTTGTCCTTAATAGTACGCACACGAACTGTGCTTGCATTCAAAAATGAAATCTCAACTATATTCAGAAATGAATTAAAAGCGTCAATCACTAATTGGACATTGAAATGAAGACTCAGGTAGAAATTTCTCTGTGATTAGTCTCAACAGAACATTTGATAATTAAGTAGTTAATAGATCATGAGAGTAGATAAGGCAAAAACTTAATATTATGTACTCTTTTTTATTTCTAAAGGCCTTTATCCTCCTCAGGAAAAATAGGACTCTAAGCTCATCAGTAGCATAATTAGGAAGGTACAATAATAAAAAGATACAGTCCTACAATATATATCAGGCAAGGAGAACATGAAAAAAATCAGGAAACGATTACCTCAGAAACAAAGCAGGTTTGATTCATGCACATAACAGAATTTGCTTTATATCAACAGCAAAAGATACATTTTTAATCATACCTTCTATTCTATCACAAAGTCCTGAATTTTTATGGATTCAAAATAAGCTCTTAAATCTAACAGTGCCCTGGAACTTGCACTGATTTGTGGATATTACAGAGAAGATATGAACTAGTTTCTACAAGGAAGACATATTGCAAAGCTAAATGCTCTGCTTTATATGAGCCCAGAACAAGGTTTTTATTTTAATACTGCAATAGCACTCACTAACTTCCTATTGAGAAATTTCTCTAAGGGCTGTTTCACCTTTCCTTAAGGATAGCAATCTTCTCTCACGAAATGAGCATTAACAGTTACGCATAGCTTATAGAAATTGGTTTGGCCCTTCATCTCAAATAATAGCTGTAATTATAACACCGACTTCCTCCATATTTTTAAAATAGTCTCATCCCCCACTCATCACTGTGGGATTTGATCCTGTATAAGAGATAAGAGACTAGGAAGTGAATGCTTTTTAACATAAGTCTTCAACCTTGAAATATGGCTCCTAAATAGGCAACATAGAAGTTAACAAAATGAAAGAACCTATAAAATAAAAGAGCGTTTGAAATTTTCTGTTGTAAGATACAGTACCCTCCAAAATGAGCATTGACTCTCTGTCCCAATTTTTCCATATAGTTATGGTATTTTACAGTATAACAACAGCTGAATAACAGTTATTCTACTCTGAAATTCTCAGACATTAAAATTTAAGGGAAAGGTATGACACCTTAAGAGTTAACAACTAGGGCCATGAGAAGAGCTGAGAATAGAAAATAGTTTCATCATATCTTGCAATCTCTTATTATTATTATTATGTTTTAAGAACTGTAAATACACTGGAAATACAGCAAGAAAAGTCTTTACATACATACAAACACACATGCATTCAAACAGCTCCTAGATTTCTGCAGCAACCTGACCTCAAAAGGTAAAGAAAAATTACTTGAAAGATATAGAAAATAACTGTTCACTTACGGTTTTAATTGCAATTGTTTTAATTCGAATAAAAACACAATAACGTAAAATTAAGGAAGCTATAAGCATTATTTCTTCAGTAACCACAAACATATTAGCAGAAATAGTTCACCTTTTTTCTAATACATGCAAAAAATAAAAAACTAGAGAAAAAAAAGCAATTCTTAAATTAAAGCTCCATAAGTTTCTGTACTTACACTGCTGGGGGTCCAAACTCTCCCCTAAAATCTCAGAGTAAAAGGTAAGCTTCCCATAAAGATATACCCTTCAGGGCATTTTGAACTAGTTGATCAGTCTACTCTCTACATTTTGCATACCTTGTAAAAGGTTTTGTTAGAAGCTGTAGTCTGGGAGTAGTGTAGGAAGGGATTCTACCCACTTGAAGACCCCTGATGAAGGAATAATGTGGAACACCTGATGGCATTTGCAACCTGAATGACTCATGTGCTGCAGCTGTCTGAGTAGCTAAGAACCTTCTGGAAAGTGACCGAGACATGAGAAGATTTTCACAGGTGTGAGGTATCTGTGTGTGATCTGAGTTTGTTGTGGGACTTAATGTGCGTGAGCAAAAGCATTTATAAGTGCAGTAAACCATGGTAGTACAAAAGGGGAAATGAAAGAATGGAGCTTTATGCAGTGGTGGATGTGAGTGATAGAAGAGGCAGGAGTGTGCAGCAGTAACGTAGCTTATGGAGTAGTGGGGTTAAAGAGCAGAAGATGGTGAGGGAAGTCTCCACAAGCAGTAGCGTATACCTGTGCATAACTTCCATGTACCGTGGAGGCTGCAGAATTGTGCAATTGTTATCATGAGTGTTTTAAATATCTCATGTGTAAACTTATTGAGAAAGGACTTATAAATGGCATCTTGCAGAAAAGAAACAACTCTCCTGTTTTCAGTTTGTTTGCTGTGGTCGTGACAGGAGATTTTAAGTTGCTGTTGTCCAAAAGGGCATATAACCTTTTTTGTGTGTGTGTTTGTGTTTTATAAGGAGGGATGGTGCCATATGTGCTACTCCTGTATACTGTTGTATGGAAACTACTGAATCATGGCCTGAACCTCTGATTGATCACCTGAGGTGAGCAGTGAGTCAGCCACGTGAGCACAGGTGAAGGTAATTCACCTCTTCTAGACCCATTTAAGAGCTGACTACTAATGGGAAAGGATCTCTTCTGGAGATCCCTTCTCTGGAATTTTGCAGCTAGCCCAGAATGCAGGTAAGTATTCTATCTATTCTATTTTTGTTATTATAACCTGCTTAGCTAGACTTTCTTGTTTATTTCATAATTATAGCATCTTTACATTCATTGATTATGCAACTGTGAAGACAACCAAGCTTAAATGCCTCCTCTCTGAGGGAAGCTAGGGAAAAGTAACCTGTGTTGTGGGCAGAGCCTTCCTACAGGTTGTCAGTACTTTTCTCATAAGGGAGAGGGCTAGTTTTCTGAGCAGGTTTCTGGGTCAGTAGGCTGCTGAAGGGAGTGCTGTGTTGTCTAATAACAGTACATTTCTATGAGCAGTTGCAAATTGCTGTGGGGTTAGCAGGAATACTGTAGCTGCAATAGTGCTCAAAGGGTGTCTCATGTTCAAACAGACCTGGGGATTTGTGAAGATACTTCATAGAAGCTGGTGAGGAAGCTTTACACAGAAAGATGTACAGTGGTGCACACCTTCCACTGGGGGTAGATGTGGAGCAGGAGGTGAGAGGCTGTTTCCAAGTAAAGTTCCTGAAGTTTGAGAGGTGTTTGGAAGGGCTTAGTCTCCCAAGATAGGGACTACTTGGAGGGAGGGGAAGGCCTTACTCAGGAGTGGTAGACAGCTGTGTGAATTCCTTTCCCTGTTATGAGGGCAGCAGAAGCATGCAGTTGTGTTTGCCAGCTGAATCCTTGAGTTTAATTGGACTCATGTCAGTAAAAGGCCCTTGTTGTGAGGAATGAATTCCTGCTGGGGTGGAGGGGTCAGGGGTCTAGCTTGGATGCTACCTTCATTTGTGAAGGTAGTGGGAATGTGTGTGGCTGCAGTGATACTCATGAGCTGATTAGTGTTTGTATTGACTTGTGGAAAAATGTTCCCTGCCAGAAAGGATTAGCCACCATGAGAAAGAGCAGATGCTTATATGAGTTTATGTGGTCTGTGAAGGCAGTGGAGCTGGCAGGAATGTGCAAAGTGCCTTGTGTATGAGAGGCATTTGAATGAGCTTGTGTCTCTGGGGAAGAGATCTTTAGGAGGAGATGAAGGGGGTTTGTCTGAAAGGAGCAGATGCCTTTTAGGATGGTATGGTAAAATGCGTGCTGCAGCAGCATGGTTTTGTGAACAGAGGTATTCAGGCAAGCTTGTTAGCTTGTGAGAAACACGTGGGGAGAGCAGCCTACTGTAGGACTGACACATGCATGTGTGCAGCTTCCATATGTTGTGAGGGTGGTGGAGGAGGTAGGAGAGTGCTGTGATGAGATTCATGAGCTTGAGTGCTTCATGCTTCACTGGATTTTTCTTCCAGGAGGACCTGTTATGGGGGTAGGGTGCAGTATTGCCCTTGAGAAGCAGATGAGAAGCTTCCACATGTTCTGAAAATGTTGTGGGCTTGGCAGTTATGTGAGTGCAGTTGGTGGGTGTTGGTGAAAAAGTATCCAGTGGAGGCTGGTGGGAAAGCCTGGCATAGAAGAGGCAAATGCTAGTGCATGTCTTCTGTTCTGAATTTGGGAGACTAAAGGGTATTATGGTCTTTTCACAATAGATTTTTCATGTTTGGGGGAAATTTAGGTCAACTTCCTGTGTTTTAGGAAGGAAAGAGCTGTGCCAAGAAGTGGGAGATATATTTGAGGGAAGATGGAAAGAAGAGGGTACAGGGGTTATGGTGTTTTTCTGCTTCATGCCTAGATGGACCTTTAGCCATGTGAAATGGGAGTCCTTGACCTAGGGGACCCTTATCCATGAGCAAATGCCTCAGTGTCTCCGGAGGGCATTAATTGGCCCCAGAAGGGGCAGATGCCCCTATGTAATGTCTATATACTTTGAAAGTGACATAGGTAGCAGAAATGTTTGACAGAACTGGCATGTGGAAGAAAAAGGAGTGATAATGGAGCTAATAATCTCAAAAGAGGGCCTCTATCAGCAGCTGAATCTTTCCCCAGGAATAGTAGATCCCTTTGAGAGGAGGAAATTCAGATCATGTAGTGATGATGTTGCTAAATGTCTGATGTCCAGTAGTGTCTGAATGTTCCTTGTGAGAAAGGAAAGAGCCTTTTTAAGGTATGATTGCCAATGCACAGCTTCCTTTGGGAAGGGCTAGGTGCCTCTTGAGAGGGCAAAACAAGGAGGATGCTCTGTCTCTAGGAGGGGGAGAGGCTTTGAGGGGAGACACAGCTGACATGAGCTTGCTTTGGTGACATTGTGAGCAAGAGGAAGCCTGTCTGAGCAGACTTTTGCAAAAATGCCATATTCTTTGGGGTGAAGAAAGCCTTCATGGAGTGACTGTTGTCACCACCTGCTTGCCACTTTGTGATTTTGTGGACAGTAGGTATGTGTGGGTGTAATGGAGTTCATGAGCTCAGTGACTTATGTTTGGGGGTTCATCTAGAAAAAATCCCAACAAGTGGGAGTGGATGGTAATGGGTGAATGCTTGCTGAAGAATGACAAAGGCCTGTTATGATGGCGTAAGCTACAGGAGAGGTGACATGAATTTTCATGCTTGAGCTTCTTACTAAGGAATTAAAAACTCACTGGGATTTCCCACATCTTAAGCATAACTACAGGAAGAAATGACCAACAACCAGAGTTAAAATGTTCTGTCATGCTCCCCCTTCTACAGGCTTTTACAGTGCTGTTTTCCTCAACTCCCTCTTAGACTGAGGAGGCTTTCTCTGAAGCCTTCCACCCACTCAATTTCCCCACTTTAAAACAAGTTCACAGCCAACCCACCTCAGGCTTTAGCTTATACTTTCCTATATTTCTGACTCCCTGATTCAGAACACCTGTGTTTAGGATTCTCACACTTCATCTTTTCTTTCCTGTCTATCTCTTCCTTATGCCTGGCATAGTTGCAAGCTCTATATTGCCCAATCACACCACAGCCCCTTTTAGTACCCACCTGTTTCCCATTTCTTTAACTCATCAGGAATTTCTGTTGGCTGTTGTCTTTATGCCACATTCAGATGGAACTGAGAGGATGAACTTGATCAATAGACTTTTGCAAGGTGGCTTTCTGAATCTTCAAATCCTTGTGCTGCCTAGAACGTGCTATTAGTGCACAGTGGCCATAATTTCAAGCTTAGAAATCCTGTGGACCATCAACTTTAGACAGCATGATCTTTCTAGAATTTGAACTGCAGTTAGTTTGGGTTATTGTTTAACTTGATTGGAATGAGATTACTTGCATTCCAAATATTGCCGATTGTGCCAAGCATACTATTATACTGGGGTATTCAGTCAGGGCAAAGGTGACTGATTAATGTTTGTTTGCTGTAAAGGGAAGAGGTGCTGAGCAGAAGTTGAAATAGAATGGGGAAAAGTATGAAAAAATAGCATAGTACTTCAACATCTAAATTCACCCTATGAGATATGGGCTTAATCTTTCAGAAAACCTAACATAATAGGTCAGGAGAAACTGTTTGTTACAAAACATCTTTATATGGAAAGCTATAATTCTTAAATTGTCTGGGTTTATTTTGAAAATATCCTGCACATGCTGTTATAACAATTGCTTTAAGAATGCAGTGTTTTAGTTCATTTAGCATTTTTTCATGTCTCTTTAGGAATATCTTAGAAATAGAGAAAACTGTAACAGTAGTATGATGTAGAAACAGATACAGTTGTGAACTGTCTGCTGTTACAATAACTGATTATAAGGAATGCTTCAGTGTTCTTCTAGTCCCACAGGATTATTTTGAAGGCTTCTCTCAGCCTAACTGGCCATCCTACAGCTAAGCTGGTCTTGGAGACTGTAAATTGCAGGTATTGTCTCAGATTACTGAAATATAGAACTCTGTCCTGCAAGCTGTTAACCTTGATTCTGCATGGTGTTGTGCAGTTTCTGGACTGCTGTGGTGTTTTCCAAGCACAGCTGAATTTCTGTCCCATTAAAATCAGGTTTGTCTTTAAGTGCCTGAAGGTTTATTATTAGTAGCCTACTAGTCTAAGAAAAATACTTGAGTTAAGTACTTCTGAGAGCTATGATTATTGTAGTAATTTTACTCATATAGTAGGCCTGAGAGTATACCTACACGTGTCTGCTCAGACAAGTTCAGTTGCTGCAGGAATATCTAATGAACCAGGAGAAAGATATGCAGTGATATAACATTAAAAACAAATGGGAGCAGATTACATTGCTTGTCCAGTGTTTAACATCTGTTAAGGAGTCGAATGAGTGAAACAATCTGTCCCCTTTGTTGTACTCTTCATAAAGATTTTATTTAGACATACAAAGCTGTGAGCCTTTAAGACAGACTGTTGAGAGTCCGCCCCTACATGCTAGGAGGACAGCGGTCTACAAATGACAGCAAAGAGAAGTTTAGAGAAAGTTAAATTGTTGCTATCAACAGTCCTTTCTCAGCAAGGAAGTCAGATGTGAGGTAAATGTGTTGTGTTGGAGGTGCTCAAATGCCTCATCTTTCTAAATAAATAGAGACTAATGACTTGCAACATCCCTTCCTGCTTCCATAGGCACAGAACTGTAGGAGCTTTTTTTTACTGCAGCTGCAATGAAATACAACTTAGAGAAGGTACTTTTAAACAGTTTTGAGATTTATAAAACCAAATGCAGTTTAAGTATCCATGCTATTTTTTAAGTGTATATTTTCTTCACAGGGAGTTAGTTTCTTATTTTTCTCATGCTGATGCTTGCTTTGTACTAACATGGCCTGTTTTGTCTTTCCCTGAAGTTATTTTAGTTTGTTGATACCAAATAAGATTAAAATAATCCTTTTTGACTTGAGTGATGTTGATTTTGAGATTCTTTATATATACAGTAGTAGAGATTCCACGGAAAACTGCTTTTAGATGTCTTATATTTCAACTGAAAATTCTCTTATGTTTGGTCCTCTTTAATCTCCTTGCAGCAGTTGAATGCAAAGGATGATTGCCCTCAAGTGACAACTTGACCTTTCCATGCCACTACTAGTGACCCACTTGAAGAATGACTATTGATTACATGGCACCATGGCAATGCTTTTGCTAGCTTGACCTTTCAGTTGGTACAGTGCCTCATACACACAGTATTATGATGGAGCCAATAGAATCAACAAGTGAGATTGAACTTGTTGTTTGTACTTAAGAGTTTGTGCTTGATTAAAGATCTTTGCTTTGCAATTTTTGTATGAGTCATAACAGAAAGGAAGGGATGTGTTATAATTACAGATATAATCTGGAATTTATTCAGTTACACGTTTTGAAGGAAATTGGCTATTTGCTTAGAATTCCAGATAAGTTTTCTTGCCTTTTCTGGTTTGCTGTTGTGGGCAGTAATAGGAGAGATGCCAAAGGTACACGAGAGAAGAAAAGGAGAGTAAAGCAAACCTTTGTTTCACAGAATGGCCCAGTTTGGAAGGGGCCACGAAGATCATGAAGCTCTAACCCCCCCTGTCACATGCAGGGCCACCAACCTCCACATTTAATACTAGACCAGGCTGCCCAGGGCCCCATCCAAACTGGCCTTGAACACCTCCAGGGACAAGGCATCCACAACCTCTCTGGGCAGCCTGTTCCAGCACATCATCACTCATAGTAAAGAACTTCCCTCTGACATCTGACCTAAATTTTCCCTCCTTCAACTTAACAGCAGGACAAGGGGAAATGGTTTTATCTACGCTTTCAAGGAGTTGATTCCCTTCCTGTTTGTAGGCTCCCTTTAGGTACTGATAGGCTGCAGTGAGGTCACCCTGCAGCCTTTTCTCCAGGCTGAACAAGCCCAGCTCCCTCAGCATGTCTTTGTAGGGGAAGTGCTTCAGTCCCCTGATCATCTTTGTGGCTCTCACCTGGACCCTCTCCAACAGCTCCCTGTCTTTCTTGTACTGGGGGCCTGAGACCTAGACACAGTACTCCAGATGGGGCCTCACAAGAGCAGAATAGAGGGGGACAATCACCTCCCTGTCCCTACTGGCCAATCCTCTTCTGATGGAGCCCAGGATGCCATCTGCTTTCCAAGCTGCAAGAGCACACTGCTGGCTCATGTTCAGTGTTTCATCCACCAGGTGCTTCTCTGCAGGGCTGCTCTTAAAGACCACTCCTTCCAGTCTGTATGGATGCCTGGGATTCTTCCAGCCCAAGTACAAAGCCTTGCACTTTGCTGTGTTGAACATCATTAGATTCACCCGGGCCTACCTTTCAAGTCTGTTGAGGTCCCTCTGAATGGCATCTTTTCCTTTCACTGTGTCAGCTGCACCACTCAGCTTGGTGTCATTAGCAAACTTCCTGAGGGTGCACTCAATTCCATCATTGATAAAGATGTTAAAGAGCACAGACCCTTCTTACCTGTGTTCCTTTAGCTGTCTGTTTCCTTTAAAAGACAGTAGAAATTATAAAAGAGGCATAATGTTTGTTCAACAGCTTGAGTTTTGTATTTTAGTTAGGGTGTATCAAAAAATGGTGTCTTCAGCATTAAGTTGAAAGATATTTAGACTAATACAGTCAGAAGCTGGTCATTATGCACTGTACTCAAATCCTGTAAAACACTCCTTCAGGCACAATTCTCATTTGAGGACAATATCTGAAATTACTAACTTTAAATCACAGTTGGAAATGCTGTTCTCAAAATATTTTCCAGAACAAAGCTTGACTGAGTATTTGGAGTGTGTTGCTTCTTAACAGTTTTCACAACTTTTAAAAAGTGTTTCCCAGGTTGAATCTCAACCTGGGAAAGGAGTGGGCCAGGGATGGGATCAATATTCTGATGATGTCTGCAATTTCCAATTGCTATTTTGAGTGAGTTTTGGTCTTAACTCCCTGCCCAAAACTAAATGGAAATTGGGGATAGTTTTGTGATCTGTGGAGTAAATGTATTGCCTCTGACAATTACATCTGTTGTATCTACATAATAATTTGTTGCAATGGAGCTATGACTTTGGTCTTCCTAAAAGGTAAATTTACTGGAAAGGTGTGTGCTCAGCCTTTTTGTAAGGCGTGAGGAGGGGAAGGGTGCTCACACTTGACAGTGAAATAACTGTCGTTAAACATTTCCTGCTTAGACTAGAGTATTATCTTGAGCCAGACTCTTAATCTCTTTCTAACCTGGTAGAAGTCTATTTGAGTACTGGCATCTGAACTGCAATGAAGACTAGAAGCATTACTTTTAATCAGGATTATAGAGAGACAGATGCCAGGAAAGACTGCTGCCCTAATGAAGCTGAGGAAGTTCTAAGGCCGAAGAAGCTGTGACTGCCTTTCACCTAATTCCATGAACATTTTCTGCTGCTGGGCATCTCTAGCTGAAGACTAGAGCAATGGGGTACTAAGCCACAGGAAGGGAAGTTTAGTCTTTGTGACACATTATGTAATGACTGGAGAAACAGTAAATTTTAAAACAAGTTTTATCTTGTACTTTGTAACATCATTATTTCTTATTATGTAAAAAGCCTATATTTAAATTCTTGAGCAGGTCAGATTTTTCTCAGAATTTTCAGTAAAAAATACTGAATTTTTTTAATTTTAATGAGTTATAGTTCAGTCAACAGTTTAAAAATTAAGACATTCATGTTTGCCTGCTAATATGCTACTTCATCTTCTATAAAAGCATTTGTGAGCAATAGCTTATAGTAAAGACAGCTACTTCCATTGAAAAAGCAGCTATCTAAATTTTTTTTTGTTTTTATTGCCTTTGCTGTTATACAAAGTTTTATTCAGTTGCATACTCATACTACTATTTCCATACTTGCCTCATTCTGGATATGTGATAATTATGAGGAAAATGTGGAAATCAAAGGTGTAACTCAAAATTTACTTCAGAATAAATTTGCAACCTAGCATTTTTTATTTTTACTTAAATAATAATACTCTAAGAGTCTTCTAATTCTGTAACATCAGAAATTATTTAAATTTAATGGCTTTACTATACATAGTTTCCCTGCGCTTTAGGTGAAAGCTAAGAACATTGTTGGAAGAAATGCTTGTCTTCACATTTTTCCTAGTAAAAAGCAGTTAAAGTAAGAAAACAGCAGGAGTTTTTTCCTTTTTTAGTGATAATAGCTTGTATTCTAAAATACCTGAATGATGAGTTTAAAGACTTCTATATGATGTAGAGTACAAGACAATGTTAATAGTGGTACACACTGCACTGTTCACTGAACCAAAGTTGTTCTAGGTAAAGTAATCTTGGCCTCAACTCT